CTGCAGGGAATCCCAACTTCTCGTAAGCTTCCGGGGTGATTTTTTAAGAACAAGTGAAAACTCGGGAAATGTTATAGCCCACTCTTAAAATCGTTTCAGAAGAAACCACTCATCTTGATGACGACACAGATCCACAATTTTTTAGCCTCTCAAGTCCAAGGAACTGAAGTTTTTTTTCATAAGCCACTTGGCAGCTAACTCTGACTTCTCTGAACCAATGCAGTAGCAAAACCTGACCTGAACTGGTACAAGGCTATTTATTGTCTTTATCCCATTTAGTGGAAATATTATTCTATTTTGCTGCAAAAAAACTGTTGATGTGTTTCATTACAGGTTCTTGGCCTAGCCCCTGCTGAGGATGTGACATTACATATGTAGATCATAGCCTATCTAGAAGCTGAATGATTCTGAAATCCAAACTGCCTCTGGCCCCAAGGATTTTGGGTAAGGTACAGTGGATCTAAACCACCCTTCATCTGTAGAGCACTTCACAGATCATATACGTTTCCTCATGGGATTCTCCCAGCAGCCCTGTGAGGCATCAGGGGTAGGTTATCCAATAAGCAGGGTAAACACAGGCTTACTCGTGCTTACTTACTAATCTGTAGTGAACAATTTCACATGGGTTTCACCACATCACATCAAAGTGAAACCCATGTGAAACTGTTCACTCAGATTAGCAAGCACAATCAAGCCTGTGCTTACCTTGCATACTGAGTCATCCACCCCTGTCAGGGATTGTAAATTTGAAAAGAGGCTTTGATTCGATAGGAGGGTGCTCTGGGGTTGGGAGAGAGACAGATGCCAGCCAGACCTAGAAGCAGAATCTTTGACGTGTGAAGAAATGTGGAATTGTTTACTATAGATAAGTAAGCACAATTAAGCCCATGCTTACCTTGCTTATTGGATAATCCACCCCTGGAGACATTACATCTACCAGGCCCTCGATGAAGCATCAAGGCCCCCCACTCTGGCCCTCGGCTCTCTGTCCTTCCCACCTGGCTCCTGTCTCTCCCAGCCTCACTTGCCTCCTTGGTTAGAGATGAACGTTTTGCCTTCAACCATTCCAGACCCCTCCAGGGCCAAGTCCAAACAGAAATGCAGCTCACCACACACCTACTGGCCACCATGTGTCATCCTCCACAAAATTCACCCCTCGAATCCTTTCTGACACTAACTAGATCAATAGTTTCTAGTGAATCAGCAAAGGTCGTATCTTACTATCTGATCCAGGGTTATCCGTCCCTAGCTCCCAGAGAGAAACTGTCCTAGCAATTCCGCTTGGCCTTAGAAAAATGTCACAGACACAAATCACTTGTGTGAAACAATGATTGTCACAATACCATTTATACTAATGAAAAATCAAGAACAACTTACATGTTCAACAGTGGAGGAATGGTTAAAAAATTGTGGTATATCCATTCTAAGAATATTTATGCAGTTATTTAAATTAAGGTTTGTAAAGAAGTTTAACAAAACAGAAAAAGACTTATAATAACTGGAAAAGCCAGATAAAAATGGTACAGATAGTAGGTTATTTTAATTTTATTATGTATGTATGTGTGTGTGTGTGTGTGTCTGTGTACATATATATTTTCATATACTGGAAATAGACTGGAAGAAAATGTATCAAATCTTAACAGTAGCTGTCTCTGACAGATTAAACTACTTGTGGTTTTTCTTTTCTTTTTTAAATAATTTTCTATATTTTCCCGCAATCAGCATTTATTATTTTTGAAATCAGAAAAAAATCAAAATTTTAAGTGAGTTTGGAAATAGAAGACTCTTTGTGAGAACATGGAAGATGACGTCTAAAACGTCTTTCTGCTCGAGTCACTCTTTCGTCCCGTCGTTTTGACAAAATGGCTAATACCCCTCCGTCAATGAGTTACTCTTCACTACAGATTTCGGAAGAAAAGAGATTTGTTCTGTTATCTCACTTTCTGAGAGAGCCACGCTCCTCTGCAGATCCGACAGTTTCAGCCAGACCAGAGTTCCTAATGGGAGTTTGTTCCGGAGCCTCCATTCACTGACGCTGTTAAAACTAACAGCCGACTCCCTAGCCAGACACTAGGTGGGGAAGTCAGACTTCGCAGGCTGGATCGCCACCTTGTGGCCAGATGCATCCTTCCGCACACTGAAAAAAAAAACCCAAACCAGCTGCCATGGAGTAGATCAGGACTCCTGACAACCCTATGCGTATCAGAATAGAACTGTGCTCCAGAGGGTTTTCAATGGCTGATCTTTCAGAAGTAGACCACCAGGCCTTTCTTCTGAGGCACCTCTGGGTGGACCTGAACTTCCAAACTTTCAGTTGGCACCCAAGCCCGTTAAACATTTGCAGCACCCAGGGATTCCTGCTTGAGGATTTTCCCACTCTAGGCCTGCGGGCAGCGTCCTCAAGTCAGAATGTACCCGTTGCCGTCGAGTCGATTCCGACTCATAGCGACCCTACAGGACAGAGTGGAACTGCCGCAGAGGGTTTCCAAGGAGCAGCTGGTGGATTCCAACTGCCGACCTTTTGGTGGGCAGCCGTAGCTCCTAACCACCTCACCACCAAGGCTCTCAAGTCAGGCTAGTCCCTAAGAACAGCATTAACCGTTTTTTAGAACCGCCAGGCTCTAATGCCCTAGAACTTTCGGTGCCAGAGAAGTTTCAGCTGCTCATGAGACAACTTTAGGTACCAAGAAGAGTCAGGGACCCAGCATGTGACTGAGAGATGCTTGCAAGGTCTTCAGCTGTCCAAAACCATGTCTGCCCCTCCCTCTGGGAATGAGCGTCGCATGCACGCGCGCGCGCGCACACACACGCACACGTCCACACGGCTCCCCCTTTCTTCCTTTCTTACAGACAGTTCAAACCCCGCAAGACAAAATGTATGTAAGACCCAAAATACAAATGCCCCCGGGACAGGAGTCACTGAGAAGAAAGTCTGCAGCCGGGGACGAGTGACCCTGCAGACCATCTCCTGAGCCCAGCTTCGAGTGGGTGGCTGCCTTCTTGGGTTTGGATGTAACCTACTTCTTCATGAAATTTCATATGGTTTCAGGGAGATCCCAGAGGTGGTTCTGTGGCGGAACTGACACCGTAACTCCAGCACATGAGGCTGAAGTGGGATTCTAGAAACCCCCTCAAGACTCCCAGACCAAGACTTACAGATGAGAGTAAGAACCCGTCTTCACTGCCCAGCTCTACGAAACACCCTAGGGTGGGGGTTGGCAAACTTTTTTCTTAAAGGGCTGGATATAAATATTTTAGGTTTGGGGGGGCCACATGTCTCTACTGCAACTACTTAACTCTGCCCTCACATGGCGAAAGCAGCCGTACACAATGCGTGTCCTAACTACATAAAGGAACTGGCCGGGCTGTGTGCCAGTTGAACCTTATTTACATGAACAGGCCATGAGTCACAGTTTGGGGACCCCTGCTCTAGAGAGATGTTAGTGCCAGGACCACTTCAGCAATCACCCAAACACTCACGTCCCACGTGGGAGAACCGCAGCCAAGTGAGACAAAGAGCAAGTCAGCTATTGCCGTGCCAGCTTGCCAGAGAGTGTGGGTCCTCCTTTCAACCCTGACGGTGCCCCTGGGACACAACACCAACACATCTTCTTCTCAGAAACCCTGCTCTCTTTCTCCTTCCTCTTGCCATCACTTGCTTGGGGAGAATGGCTGATAATGCTCAGTATCACCAGTTCCTCTCACTTTTCTGTAAAAGGTCCATCCTAGCCACACTCAGATGTCACTTTAAGGGCTAAGGTGTGCCTGACCCAAGCCATGGTGTTTTCAATCGCCTCATATGCATGGGAAAGCTGGACAATGAATAAGGAAGACTGAAGAAGAATTGATGCCTTTGAATTATGGTGTTGGCGAAGAATATTGAATACACTATGGACTGCCAGAAGAACAAACAAATCTGTCTTGGAAGAAGTACAGCCAGAATGCTCCTTAGAAGCGAGGATGGCAAGACTTTGTCTCACATACTTTAGACATGTTATCAGGAGGGACCAGTCCCTAGAGAAGGACATTATGCTTCATAAAGTACAGAGTCAGTGAAAAAGAGGAAGACCGTCAACGGGATGGGTCTGCAACAATGGCTGCAACAATGAGCTCAAACATAACAACAATTGTGAGGATGGCGCAGGACCAGGCAGTGTTTCGTTCTGTTGTACACAGGGTCACTATGAGTCGGAATTGACTCAACAGCACCTAACAACTATCAATAAAATATCACAAGAGCACCCCAAAGTAGCATCCCCATTTTACAGATGTGGAAGCTGAGGCTCAGAGAGGCTAAGCATCTTGCCCCACATCAGCTAACTCTGGCAGATTGAAGGGATCAACAGTGAGTGCTTATGGAAAGAGCTGGCATGTTGTTGAGGTTGTGTACCAGCGAGTCAATTCCCACTTACAACAACCTTATAGGACAGAGTAGAACTGCCCCATTGCATTTCCAAGGCTGTATCTTTACGGAAGCAGACTGCCACATATTCTTCCCGTGGAGCAGCTGGTGGGTTCAAACCACCAACCTTTTGGTTAGCAGCCAAGCACTTAACCAACAGGGCTCCTCAGAGCTGGTATAGTATATATGAAAAAGTGTCTCAGTCCTCAGATTCTAAGTTCTTTACTCCCAAAATTAATTTTCCTGTAGAAAACTTCCCTGATCTCATGAAAGATGAGAAGATATCTATCCAAAATTAATTTTCCTTAAAAAGCTGGGAAACCTTAACCCAAAAAGATAAAGTCATGACGGGAGGATCAGACGGCACCATCACGTTAAGATGGTCTGGTGGAACGAGAATCCTCTTCAGCTTCTTCTGACGGCTTGAGTTCAGCCTTGCCCAAATCCATCAAAGATTTACCAGAATTTATGTGAGTGGGACGTTAACCGAAGCGGCCTCTTGTGACACATTCCTGTCTCCCAAGGACTCACCTTTGCCTCGCAGACTTCTTTCCCCAAGATCTTGGACAAAATATCAGCATATTGCTATATGGTTAGAGCTTCTGCACTGAGACCCACAGCCTTGCCTAAAAACGCCTCCGGAGAATTAAAAATACCAGAGACGACTGCTCCCACATCAGCAACAGAGACGCCATCCATTGGTACGTCCCCCATGGGCATTGCTAGTTTAAAAACAAGGAGAAGGGGTCGTTACATCACATGCTTGACAGGTCCCATCAACGCAAACTAACCAACTGCTTAAACAAGGTGTGGGCAGGTGTATCACTGTTACGCATTTCTTTAGCCATTTGTTGAAGTATATTAAGCCCGTTGCTGTCAAGTCGATTCCGACTCAAAGCGACCCTATAGGACAGAGTAGAACTGCCCCATAGGGTTTCCAAGGAGTGGCTGGTGGATTCGAACTGCCAACCTTTTGGTTAGCAGCCATAGCTCTCAACCACTTCGCCATCTGTGATGTATGGCAGATGCTCTAGCTCTGGCTCAGGTCTATTTTGCCAGCAGCCGTGCCCTTGATGAGTCTTAATTATGTGTCAGGGAAGAAAGACTGAATTGCTGCCATTGACACAGTGGTACTCCCTCGACTCCACAGAGGCTGCCTGTGGCTATGGCCAAAAGAATGTTCTCAAAAGGCAGGGGGATGCTGGCCAGTGGACTGGCAGCATTGGAATTACCCAGGAGTCCTTGTTAAAACTACAGATGTCCGGGCCCCAACTCATACCCAGGGAATCAGACTCTCTGATGGAGGGTCTGGCAACCTGTCTCCAGTGGGGCTGGGTCCCTCTAGAGCTCTAATTTTGACCCTGGGCCCCAGGTCAGGAGGAAGATGTCTTCTCTCTCATTGCCACAGAAGGTGAAATGAGTCAAATGAGCTGGAAAGGACCTCAGAAGTCACCTCGTCTATTACAGATGAGGAGATTGAGGCTTGAGTTTACATGGCTAACTACTTAACATAATGAGGGTCAGTATGTTAGACTGGAAATGGATTCTCTGTGTTTCCAGTCCAGGATCCAGTTCTCTGCCCTGTATAAGGTAACTGCCCCAGTGAAGCCTAGGATAATTGGGTATCCCTCTCAGCACTTCACACAGAGCTAGGCACACAGTAGGCACTCAAATAATACGTGTCCACCTAAGAAAAAGGGGGCGAGAGGAGAGGGAGAGAAGAGGGGGCAGAAGGGCAGCGAGGTGTCTGGTTAACTTTCACTACCACCGTCCGTTTACCCAAGGTGTAGTAATCTCCATCAGTGGCTTTCGCCGGCTTCCACACTGAGACAAAATTTTCGTAGTAAGCTGCCACGCGGACGCTGGTCATGGGAACGCCGATGGACCAGAAACACTCCTCCACCTCTCCCTTCCCGTCAAAGGGCGGCACCTCCAGCTTGACGCTGCTCAGCGTCTTGACGTTCTCCAAGCCGCTGAACAGCGCGTGCTGCAAACCCAGGCGCTTGGCCACATCCGCCACCAGCTTTCCCTGAGGGCCAGAAAATAAACTGTTTATGTCGGCCGCTGTATCTCCATACACACTAAAGGGCAGATGCTGGGCCCCCTCCACCCCTTTGTCTTATTGTTCTCATTTGTACTGCCAGAGAGGGGGCTCTTCCAGCATCAAAATATGCTCCCGTTACACGTGAGTGGCCACCAGTATCCAAAACAGAGCCTCTACCTCAAAGATGCCCAAACCCTCAGCCTCCTCCTACTGGGTCTGGAAGACCCAGACCCTGGGGAAGGGTAGAGTGCCAGAAGTGAAAATATACCCGTTACATTTTTATGCTCCCCATTTTGCCCTCAGAGTAACCTTAATTTGTGGGGTATCCTTGCTGCCACCCCCATATGCCATCTACAAACAAATAGTGAGAACTAGAGAACCAAATGACCAAGTCCGTTAAATATTCACTCTAGAACATCCAAGGTCTTGAGATTTAGAAGGGTGCTACCTAACAGTCATTTCATAATCAAAGACGCCTGTAACAAGTACTGAAGGTACATATCTTTCATAAACTCCAGAGAGATGCTGTGGAGGGAAACTTATGTTTTTGCCCGGACTGAAGGCCAACCCCCTTCCAGAAACGACAAAGGTAGCCAAGGAAGAGGAAAGGGCTGAAAAGGAAACAGTTTGGTTCCCACTTGACACACTTCCTTCTCTTTGCTGAAGTGGTCCCAGAAGTTGGTCAACACAAAAGCCCCATAGGCACCTTTTAAAGCAGCCTCCACTGATGCTTCATCATTCAACTCACCTCTTACCACCTTGGCGCCAAGGTCCTGGAGCGCCAGGGCCTTTGTTCGAGTTGGGTCCCTGGTCACTGCTCTCACAGCAAAGGTTTTGCTCTCCAAAATGGCCTTGGCCACAGAGCCACCATGAGCTCCTGCAGGATGAAGGGAAGAAGAAGGATCTTTACTAAGATGAGTTGGTCAGGAAGTTGCGGTATTCAGAATGGAGCTCCAGGAGGTGTCCCCATGGCTTGCAAGAGTGGTTTTCAAACTAGGTTTCTTGAAGTCGTAGAATGTCTCTTCAGAGCTTTGAGATATATAAAAAAGAGAAGTGAGCAGAGAGACATGAGGACCTCATACCACCAAGAAAGCAGATCTGAGAGCAGAGTACATCCTTTGAACCCAGGGTTCCTGCACAGAGAAGCTCCTAGACCAAGAGAAAATTGATGACAAGGACCTTCCTCCAGAGCCGACAGAGAGAGAAAGCATTCCCCTGGAGCTGGCACCCTGAATTCGGACTTCTAGCCTCCTAGACTGTAAGAGAATAAACTGCTGTTTGTTAAAGCCATCCACTTGTGGTATTTCTGTTATAGCAGCACTGGATAACTAAGACAACTGATAAACCCACAGTAAGGTCCACCAGTCCATGAGCTCTCCTCTTAAACATAGAGCTTCAACCAAATTTTAATGCCATGGTAGTATATATGAACAAATAGCCAAAGTTCACTGGATATTTGAGGAAAGCCTCCAAGACGAAAGGCAAAAATTAAAATGAACAAGTGAAATAAGGAAAGGGAAACAATGCAGGGAAGAGAATAAAAAAAGTTCAAAGAATTAATGTCCTCATAGATTGGAGAAAATGTTGCATTCAGAACACTAGCTCTGCATACTGTACCAACAAAGGCAGGAAAGAGAGAGAAAAGCAGAGAATTCAGAAGTCTAGAAGAAGCTCTCAAAAATTAAAGATTTTGCAGCAGAAATAAAATTTTCAATAGGAAAAGTTCAAGAAATCTCCCAGAAATTACAAGAAAGAAAAAAGAAGAAGAAGAAATGGGAAATTAGTATGAGAAAATAATTAGAAGAGCCAGCCAGGGAAATACCAGAATGAGAGAATAGAGAAAATGGAGACAGGAAAACTATCAAAGGTAATTTCTCAGAGTCCAAGGATATTGACTGAGCTTCCAAATTGAAAGGGTTCTCTGAATTCCCAGCAAAATGAACAAAATCCCATGTTATGCACATCATTGTGAAATTTCAGAGCACCAGAAAAAGAAATTCTTAAAAAGCTTCCAGTGGGGGTTGGTCAATTCAAAGACAGGAAATAAAAATAACATCAGACTTCTTAACAACATTGGAAGTAACGGAGTAATGCCATCATCAGTCTGAAGGAAAATTTAATTTCTATCCAGAATTCCAAACCTAGCCCAATGATCAATCAATTCTAACAATTCTACCTAAAGACATTTCCAGACATTCAAGTTCTCAAAAATTTAACTCCCCTGCATGCTTTCTCTAGAAGCTACTGGAGCAAACTGAGAAAGTAAAACAAGCTAGAGGAATCCAGGAAACAGAAACCAAACCCAGGAGAAAGGCAAAGAGAATTACTGGAATGACGGGGAAGGGAGACCTAAGAAGATAGAAACAGAAAAAGGGAGCATGCCTGCGGGGAGATCTCCACCAGGGAAAAAGAGCAGAACCAACAGATGAGTCAACAGGAGAAATGTCCCCCCCTTTACTGGAAAGATTAGAGAAAGAATGAGTAATAGGTACAAAGAAAACTAAGAAAATAAAAAATAAAGGCAACTATCAATTTCAGGAAAAACAAGAAAGTATGTAAGAAAAGAAGTGTGGTCAGCACACACTGCGTGGCTCAAGTGTGAACAACAGTTACATAGGCATCACAAGGGTCCATATTAGTCTACAGTCCGTATGAAAGGCACCCACTGGGATAGTTATATTGGGAGATTGGGGAGAAAGGGAGTGTGTGCTTGGGGATGGGGATGTAGGAGAGCTAATGACAATAGAAAACATGTAAAACTAAAAAATCAAGAAATGGCAGTATTATCACATTATTTAAAAATATGGAGACAAATACCAGTAAAAACAAAAGCTAAATGTGGAAAAGGGGTGGGACAGGGTCTGCCAGTTTTCTGAATAAGCCTTGTAGGACTATTAGGCTTTTAAAATGATGTATGTGTATATTTTTATAAAAATAAGTATGGAATAAAAAATACTTGTTGTCTGACTATTTTAATTATTTCCTTACAACTCTCCTACTAAATCAAGGAGTCCTTGAGGACAGAAACTGTTTATTCATTATCCCTGTTTCCCA